CTAGACATTATAATTAAGTGCTCCTTTTTACCTTATGCTACTCTATCTAATAAATGAAAACCGTGGCATTATATTCCTTTACGTTACGTTTCTTCTTCACATTACGTTTTCATGTTACAAATCTCTTATTTAATCAATTCCATAAAATCGAGACATTCTTCAAATGCTCTATAAGAAGCTCTCTACTTTAGCTCAAGCAATGATTATGTTTCTAAATTAACTTCTTTTTAATTTAGTTATTTGAAATTTATATTTTCTTCTCTCTCACTCATCTTCATTTTAGTACGTGCCTTATCTTCATTCTAGCCAACAATTGTGTTGTAGAACATAAACGACACTGCTGAATTTGAGGTTGGATCGTCAAGAAATTATGCGCTTGGATATGTATGTTCTCATTTAAGTATTGTTTACATCAAAATCACTGATTGCATATAAGTTGCCTCGAATCAGCAGGTCTTTGAACTTACACAGGCGAGTAAGAAGGACAGAGGCCTGAATTGCACAATCCTGGAAGGGAAAAAAAAACAGTTAGAGAGGGAATTTGTAATACAAAATTCAGTGTCAAATAGGAGTGTTTAATTAGGAGTGTGATTTACATTCTCATCTAGCAGAAGACATTCAACGCTTAGTAGAAGATTGTTTTTCCTAAAGTCTCAAGCTTCCCATGTATGGATGATACGAACAACTATTCTATTTTGACATGTGGTTTCTTTTACGTTGGATACATTATCTAGAGTAGAGTATGGAGCTATTCTTTTAGGCTTTGGCATTTTCAGATTTTGGAATAGAAAATAGTGAGTGAATGTTGATTCCCATAAGTACTTTATATAATGAGTGATGGAGAGAAATCAGGGATTTCAATTTTAAAATAATGATCAGACAATGAATTTGTAGTTTTGAAAACTGACAGGCAGAATTAAGGGACAAAAATTAAATAGTTTTTATCTGAAATTAATGAGAAAATAATACGACTAACGGCTGATGGGAAAACAAAACAACACAGATGTAAAACAGATGTAACGGCTAATTATTAAAACTGGACGTAGGGGCAGCAAAGCAAATAGGCCCAATTAGATGTTTATTTAGCCTAACTATTTTCTGACAAAGTTGACGTGAAGTAACGGGAGGACATGTGTCATATAATTGAAGCGCCAGATGTCATCGTTTTAGGCCAAGTTTTGGAAAACCTTCTCATATTATATAAGATATATAAGATTTGAGGTTGGATCGTCAAGAAATTATGCGCTTGGATATGTATGTTCTCATTTAAGTATTGTTTACTTTTAAATATTTTTAAAATATGATCCAGCAAAAAGTAACATTATATCAAATTGGTACAATGCATTTCTTAGTTTCGTGTTGATTCCCCATCCGCAGCCCCACTCACGACAATCTATCCTTTACTCCGGTCACTGTATCAACAAGTACTGCCGTCAGCTCTAACTTTGTGGTCGCCAAGACATATGGTGAAATTTGTGCCATGTCCCAGCCTAAACCCTCACTCCACATCTCTCGGACCGTCCATGTTGCATACCCCTCTGGTAAATCACTTTCCACAGCTCCAATAAGTGACTTCCCTCATAACCATTTATCTGTCGAGAACTTAATGTTATTATCATCTCCAACTACCCAGAACTTAATGTATGACTCTGAACCATTGCCCAAAATTTTAAGCAATGTGGGACATTTATACATATTTTTTCTTCATCGATTGAGTAATATATGTCCGTTTTTAAAATTTTGAATCACATTATATGCAGAAAAATATATTATTATATTAATTATATGTATTTTACATAAATTCAAAATAAATTAAATATAAGTTTATATAAAAGTGAAAGAAGAATCATATATTAATGTTTAAATTAGGTAGAGAGGTTTTAGGGAATTAGCAATTAATCAAATTGAGAAACAAAATCAATTTGTTACCATATTTAGAAGCCACAATTTCTTAAAAATTGTTTCGAAAATAATTTGTAATATTAATTAATAGATAAACATTTATAACAATGACATTCTCTTGTCAATAAGTGCCAACTCAAAAATTTATTTCATATTTGTACTTCGAAAATGTATATATATATATATATATATATATATATATATATATATATATATATATATTTAAATTGAAATGGAACAATGAAAGATTTACATATACATCTTTATAAGATCATTTGCCATTCTATTTTTTTAAAAAGATTTTACATAAAAACTTAAAATTCAGTCTCAAAATTCATCGATGCTCTATAACGCATATAGCACTAAATCAAGTATTCTTTTAATGTTGTCTTTTTCTACATTTTACCTTATTTCCCACAAATTGATATTAGACAATTAACAACAAATTATCTTATAATATTTTATTTAAAAAAATTATTTCATATTTAATTTAACTATAAATCATTACATAAATGAATACTATTCGAGAAGCAAAATGTAAGAAAATTATAAAAAGGACATTGTAAATTGAGGAATTGTTAGAAGAGAAATGCTTTTTTCCAATATCTCTTTTCAAAAATACAACCTACATAAAACCTTTCCAAAATTTCCTTAAAAATCTGAATTTACCTAAGTACGTATGTGACATTATAAAGCATACAAAACTACCTTTATATGTATAAATACATTATTAAAACTTATAAATACCTTATAAAATCTTATACATATTTTATAAAACCTTATGAATATGTTATATAAATACGTTATAAAACCTTATAAATACTTAGATCGAGGCTTGAGTAATACTTACCATTCAGAAGTACCTCATAAATCTTTTCAGGTTTAATGAGACGTATTTTTGAAAATACACAGAAGAAGGAGACATTTTTTAAAAATGGCACACCAAAAAGGGCATTTTCAAAAATAAAATATAATAATAAGGTCATGCAAATTATTTATTATAAAGTGAAGGGATAATATGAAATAAATAATATAGCATCTTACCTATTTCTAAAATATTTAATTTTTTTTATAACTTTGAATGATGAAAAAAAAACAAAGACAAAATATAGGATATTTTTTTAGCATTTAAAGACAAAGAAAAAGGACCACATGTCGTGAAAAAAGAAGTTAAAAACTTCATGACGAGCTCATTTTTAAATTAGAATTAATGGCCAAACCCTTATTTACACTTTTGTTATAGAAAAAAAGAAGGAGAAGATGATGATAGAGTTGAAGGATAAAAAGGTGGGGGTATTGGATGAAAGACTTTAATAGAATTCATTTGGATAGAATTAGAGACGTAAGCTACAGAATTTTAAGGAATTATTAATTCTAATTATTGTAATTTTCAACATTTTAATAGAATTTGCTAGAAATTACAAACCGAAACTTTTAAGAAAATAGAAAGAGAATGTCAAAAATCAATTGTATCTAACCCATCTAACCCAATCTATACTATTCATCTTCTTCCTCTATTGGTTGGGTTTATAATCTGTTCATGAACTATATTTGAGATTATGATGAATGATTTTTTCGTTAGAAGATGGGTATTTTTTCTTTTCAAAAAAACGTCTACTTTTTATTCTTTGTTGACCTTTTTTCTTCAGAAAAAGTTTTATAACATACTAATTTTTACGTTCAAAATAAATTCCATAATGTATATGCCAATACTTTCAATTTTTAGCCACTCTATATGTACTTTACCTTTCTTTATAACAAAATTCTTAAACTGATAACAAAAGGAATAACTAAAGTGTTAAACAAATTCATGTATAATATAATTATTTGGAAGGACATCAAAACCTATTATTGTATTATTTATTTTGCAATAACATTTTTAATCAGTATCTCACGCATCGCGTGGGTTTCTCTCTAGTACAACATAAACTACCCACTATAAACTACCCAATACTCAAAACCATAATTTAAACTACCCTATTTCTTAATTAGAATGTTAAAACTACCCTATTTTCTAAGACTCTCTTTTATCTTTTCTTTATCAGGTTGACGCAATATTATTATCTTTATTCCGAAATTGCGTTACGTAACAGTGTAACACAACATTTTTTTTTAGTACGTTGTATTTGTCTTCATTTTTTAGCGGTTGATATTGACCAAAAAAATATAAGTCAAAGGTTGACTGTTTAGATTTAGAACGGTCTAAGTACAATGATCTAGGCGGTGAATTCAACGGGGCTTCAAATGGGCCGATAGATTTATTTCCTTGCAGTTTTTGTGACCATCACATTTTTCACTTGTAGTTTAAATTTTCCAGTTGTGTAATTTGATTCTAAATTTACAATTATCGCACACCTCTAGGCCATGGACACCACAAAAGTAGTGAACAAAGAGATTGATGGCTTTCACTCTTCTTTTCTAGCCAAGAAGACTTTTGGCTTCTTTTTTTTGTCTCCTTTATTAATTTCCACACACATAAACATTATGCATCTATAACAAGAATTACGTTGTTCAAGTATTATAATTAGTTAAGAATTGTCACGTTTCACACAGACAATGCATGTCATCACTACAAATTATACAACCATCGTCATGTATCAACGAACCACCTATCTCGTTAATGTACATATAGACATGCATTATGTCTCTTACCCTTAGGGATTGAGATTGAAGGAGTTGGCTTCTTCTCTGCTGGAGTCCTGCAATTTTTTTTATATGAGAAATGTTTAATAACTAACCACACACCATAGGATAGGAAGTTAATCCCATGCAGTAACCATATATGTAGTATGTGGTCATCTCGAATCCCTTCAAACATTTTACTCTCACAAGTTACGATTTGAGTAGACCGAGATTTTTGAATTCATTTTAAAGCCAAACTATATAATAATATCACAAAACCACAAAATATAAAATTACAAACATAAACGAATTTTTGTAGAACACCTTGACCAATTTCATTACAGATACATATGAGAGATGGACTTAATGAGTACTTATGATAAATGCTCTTGGCTTGTTTCGACCGAACTTTTCCATGAACCACTCATGTTTGTATGAAGCGATAGACGACTTGTTAAAGGTCTCTCTCACACATACACAATAGCATACTTTTATTGAGACAATCGAATATTTTCTTTAGTCTAATGAAAACAGAGAGAAGAGTTTAGAATACTTCATCTTCATTTCACGTCAGTCTATGAATTTAGCTCTCCATAAACTTGTCCCTACTCAACAAATGCTCAATCCCTGAAACCACAAAATGTTCACATGTTTTCATCTCTCTAATATATAATCATATACGGTAGGCATAAAATCCAAACCGAACCAAACAAAATTTCATCAATCTGAATTGATAGACACGAAAACATCATTACCTAAATCAGGACTTGGGAAGAGTATATGCTCATAAGACTCAAACCCTCCTCCAGAATCTCCACAACTCCTTCTATCTTCAGCAGTCACCACCGTATCATCTGCCTGAGCAGTCATTGTCGTCGTCTGAGCCTGCTTTCGTTTGGACCGAGCTCGTCGGTTTTGAAACCAATTATAAACATTTTTCTCAGTGATTTGCCCGTGTTCAGACAGCTCCGTAGTGATCTCTCTAATCCTCCGCGGATTTGGTGTTCCACTTCCTTCCTTGTAAATGTTCTCGAGAATCTGAAGTTGCGTCGACGTTGGAGTCCATCGATGCCGAGTCGACATTCCATGAGCGCTTGAAGACGCCACCATCGGATCAAAGTATCCGCCGTCCATTGGATTCATCCCTGTTTTATTTTTCTCAAATCATTACCATATAAAAATTAAGTTACGTGACCCTTAAGTTTCTTCCAAATACAATCATGGAGATGAGAGAGACAAGTGTACGTACCTGATGAGAGAGGAGGGAAATAAGAGAGAGAGTTGTGGAGGAGGACGAGCTGGTCACAAATAACGGCGTAAATGGCGATTTGCTTACGGAGAGTCTCCATTTGCTCCTCCGTCATAACTCTACCATCATACGCACCGTTTTGGCTCTCTTGCTCCATCTCCTCTAACACTACTTTGCTTTCTTCTCCTCTCTCCTTTTTACAATATCAAGAAGACAATGAGAAAGTCATCAGAGTTATGTATCTTTTTATTTATTTATAGAAATCTGTAGTTTATTTGTTACCGTTAAATTTGAACACATTTTTGGAAAGATCTCTGGACTAGATCAATTGGTCCGATTTCACTTTTCCAATTACCAGTTTAATTGAGGTAATTTGGGGATACAATTGGATTATAATTGATAAATTAAATAATCATTCTGTGATCATATAACCAATATCCGATTTGATTATGGTGCCATCATATTCTTGGGTAACTATAAGACTTCAATATCTGTGGATAGTCGTCACTGCTCAACTCTATTCAAACGTTTTGTTTTCAATTCAGTTATGGTAGCTCTGAGGTTGCCTTGTTTTGATGTCCAGATGAGCGATACAGACAACCAAGAAACAAAGCGTCTATTTCAAAGTGGCTAAGGCAATCTATCAAACTGTATGATAATTTTGAAGCATCTATGGAAGGGTTAAGATATTTTTTCAACAGTGTCAAGGTTCAAAACCATCTCATTCCTTTTCTTTGAAACTTTATTACATACATTATCATAAAGATTCTTTGTGAATTGCATGCAGGAGCGAGTTGACAGTAAGATGTTAGAGTCCCATAAGCAGAACTTGTCCTCTGAAAACCAAAGCAAAGAAGGTTCAAGATCCATGAGGCTTTCTGAATCATCTGTAGGTTACATACCTGCTCACACATTCGTTCAAGTTAAAGGGGAAGCTGAACGTTACAAAGAAGTCATTGACCTTGAGTGTGTCGGTGTCCAACTTGAGCCCGGGTAAAATATCAGACAAGTATTGTTAAATACTTACCGGGAATATATAAGATTCAATCACACCTGTAAGGTTATATATATATTATACAGATCTTTAAGAAAACTTAAAAAACTGTCATGTGCAGGTGTTGTGAGGTGTCGTCTGTGACCAACTGTGATGAAGATTCAGAAAAATCTGTCTCGGGTATGATTAATGGTATAACAACAGGCAGTCCATGTTCTAGCTCGAAGAATGAAAGCTCTAGCCTAGCAACAGGTCTGAGGTCTCTGAAATCTCCTGAACAATTCTTAAAAAGGCATATATCTACTGAAAATTGCAGAAGATCTCCTCTTGGAGCTGAATCGTCTGTAATAGTAAGTCCAGAGACATATTCTAATGGTGATACCAGTCGTTTGACTTTAGAGGCAGATTCACCTTTGAACATGAGTGTTAATTCCCATGCTTTGAAGAGAAGAAAGTTTACTACCTCTTCAGTCATCATTGACCTTGAAGAAGAAAACAGTAATGCTCCTAACACTAGACCAGCGGATCACACGAGTTTGACAAGAAGGACATATAACACCAGTATGTTGAAAAAAGAAAAAAGATCAAGTAGGTAAGTGCCTTATTAAGTAGCTAAAAACTTCCATAGTGTGGCGAAAAGAAGCTTCCATAGTGTGCCGGATCTTCGTTGACTCATCTAGAGCCAACCACTCCTCAAGCAAAACTGCAACAGCAGCTCGATCAGCAGAAATGTCAGCAGGAATGTTGTTGTCCCTATCCAAGCAAAAAAATAAATATAACACCAGAAGATATATGGCAAATAACATGCACGTTGAAAAACTACCTAGATGAAGATCGTCTCCTACAATTGATGGGGACGATCTTCTGGAAAAAAAAAATTGGCAAGAAAAACTACCTAAATGAAGATCGTCCCCTGCAACGAGAGGTTATTTGAAGATCGTCACCTGAAACTGGCAAAGCGAGATGGTTACTATAAAAAAAAAACTATTTATTGGACGATTTTGATCGATTAAAGCTTACTTATTGAAAATTATAAAGATATGAACTTTTTTTACGTAAGAACATTTTTTGTGCAATTAGTAGTAGACTGTTTTAGCAATTGTAAAGAGAACAAGAGGGAGATTATGTCATACATACCACCGGCATTAATGGTAGCTTTCAAGTTTAGAAATTGTTTTTAAATGCCAAATTGTTGTGGTTTTTATTTGGAGATTTGTGGAAAATTTGATGGCCAATTTCGTTTATTATAACAAGTTAACAAATATAAGTATATACAGTATTGTATATTGATATACCTAAGACCCGACATATGCTAAACCAAAATACAAGTGAAAAAGTTTGCTATTCCACTATTTTATAATTAAAATAAATCCGACGCCTGTAAACATTATTACATCTCCAAATTTATTTATTTTGTTTGTTCATTATCATTTTTGGAACCCCATGGTAAATGGATTCTAATTTAGCATTTCAAATGAAAAAATTAAAAAAAATTGAACTTTATTTTTACTGCTTAGAATGGTAATCCTTTAACGATTAGATGATCACATAATAATTATATATGATTATATCATCCACGTAATTTAAAAAACAAAATATATATTTAATAAACAAAGAGAAAATAATCAGAACGAACTTGTAGAAATTTATATACTTTAGTATTCACCAGTTTTGCAAACCAACAACGAAAAACTTATTTTAATTCGTATAAAAATCAATAAAGACAACACCCGCCCGTTTCATTATGTGACAAAATTCCTTATTATAGCTTCATGTATACTTTTTCATGAAGATGACATTTAAGAAAGCACATTGTGGACGTCTAGCTGATGAACCTCATAATTCTTTTTAGCTACATAGTACAACACGAACAATCGCCATCTTGGCCACCGGAGAAAACACATCACTATAGTCAAAACACTCCTTGTCATGGTTACCCAAAATCACAAGACGAGCTTTATGGCGTTCAGTGGTGCAATCAAATCGATATTTAATTGTAAACACTCATTTACTTCCAATTCTTCTTCTGTAGAATTCTGTATCAAATGCCACTAATTCTACTCTTTCTTTATTAGTTTTAAGATCTTAAACAGAACGAGCTTGAATTTTCTTCAACTGTAAAACATTATATACTGCAACAAGACAGCATGATAGTTCTATCTCTCGACAAACTAAACAATTAACCACAGATTCTAAAGAACTAGCACATTAAGCTACTTTTGGTTCTCGATTTGTTCACATATTCAGATAATAATTTGACAGATACCTGAAATGGTGATAGTGCATGTATAACTTTGGCCTAATCTAGACCAACACTGTATTCCTCTCCACAACCACATTTAGCAATGTAAGAAATTCCCTGCGACAAGTGGAGGTGGTAATTATCATATAGTTAGTAATCTAATCCAAGCCTATATAAATAAATCAATGTCACCTTCAGTTTCTCAGCCTGACTCTGCAGCGAACCTAGATACTCTGCCTCTCCAGACTCATCTGACAAGAGAGCTGTGTATTCCTCTTCTAGAACCTTGATATCCACCAACATTAACTCTGCCTGCATTGTTCACAAATTAAAGAACATAGTATAGTACCAGGTGCAGGAACAAATCTTACATTTCTGAACTCATTCAACATCACAATGCTTGCAAAGAATTCCAGAGAGTGATTACCTTAAACTCATTAATCTTGTGCTTCACATGCTCAATTGATAGCTTGATCTGACATGAAATTATATAATTCAGAAAAGTGCTCAAAGAGACACATCGTGTACTCAAAATTGTTCTTCTTCTTATTTAAGGAATTACTGGAAGGGAAAAAAATCTGTATATAGGACAAAACACATATCGCAAATACAAAGTGCCAGAACCAAAACCATCAAGAGTAATCAGGTCGAACTAAAGTAAAGAACCTTCGAATTTTCCTGAAGAAGGTTGGATTTGATCTGTTTTGCTTGATCAAGCTTTGCTCTAGCAGAATCTGATAGTTCCATCAGGTCATTCCTTGACTCTTTTTTCTAAAGTATCAAAAATTGTCAAGAAAGGGATAAGAAATCAAAACCTCAGTTACTATGCAAATATTGAAAGTGTCATGTAATGAAATAAGCATTAAAGGATTCATAAGGAGAACAAACCTGTCCTTGTTGACCAGTTTCATTGCTCATATGGGAGATAAACCAGCCCTGGCCAAAATAGGACAATAGAAAGATAACTGTGTTGTTAAACAAACAGCAAAAGAGATCACGTGTAGAAAAATGAAAATAACAAACCTTTTGCTCCTCAAGTTTGGTTCTAGCTTCTTCTGCCGTCTTGACATAGTTAGAACTACAATAAGAAACAATGAAATTCACAGCAATCAGGTGGTTCCAAAACCGCAATCCAGTTTTAGGGAGATGTTCTTTGAATTACCGTTTCGATACAAATTTTGTAGATAAACTGTCTCGTTCTTGTAGAATAAGCTCCAAGCTCTACAACGCAGGATAAAAGTTCATCCAAGATGTAAGCAGTACACAAGATGTCCAACTGTCTCACAAATTACAGTGGTAACTTCTAAATCACAATTAGACCTAGTATATGTGACTTCAGCTTCATGCTTCTACAATGCATATATTCATGGCTTACAGAAGAGTTCAAATATACCTGTGAAAGATTTACTGAATCAGATTCCATCGACGAAATTTTTCTCTGATTCTCAAGTATATGTGAGCATATTTCGCCTTTTTTCCTCGTCTTCTGATCCGTTTCTTCTTTTAGTCTCTTGGTCTCAGACAATGCTTCAAACAGTTCATTAGAGAACTAGTTGAGGGGAAACTTGTTGAGATTCATTATATTGCTACTGAGAAACAGCTGGCTGATATCTTTACTAAACCACTTGATTTGAGCACTTTCACAAATTTGCAAAAGTCACTTGGTATTTGTGAACACTGACTTGCTTTGAACAAAATTGGAAAACTCAATATAACATCTCATCAGAAAAGTGCATATAAAGCTGGTTACAAAGTGTAGATCCAGAGTTGAACCAATTTGAACAAAGAACTGCTACTCTAATACTTAATAGTTGATCAAAAAACAGCAAAATCAACATTCACAAAACAAAAGTCCAAATCAATACAAAAATACATCAATGATAGCTAACTCAGGAAACAAAATTGAAAACACGAAACAGCAGAAATATCGCAATTATGGATTTCCAAACCAAATCATCTCAAATAAGCATACATTTCCACGAAGATCACGACTAAAATCTGCCGTACGATCAATATTATTCGTCCATGTCTTCAAATTCGAAATCGATGAGAGAGAGAAAGAAACTAACCATGCTCGAGATCTTTCTCCAAGGTATTGATTGTTGTAACCTGCATCTGCTCCTCGACGGAGACCTTAGCAGCGTGATCCTCCACATCTAACCTCAATCGAATTTGAAGATGAAGATTTCAGCTATAATCGGAAAAATCAGAAGCGAAGAAGAAGATTATACCAGTCATTTGAGAACGGAGAGTCTTCATATACTGTAGATACTCCTCCATCTCTTCTCACTCTCCGATTTCTTCAGTTCAACTTAATCAATCAAATACGATTCAATTCGGAGAAACATATAAAAATTTCAGAAGACTTTGAATCAGATCTGAGTACGAATTTGAAGATGGGAGAAAATTCGAAAAGGCGACAAAATTTTGAAACTAGCGGGGGAACGAAAATAGTAGCATCTAGAAGGATGAAATTACGATCGGGTCGACCCGGTTTAGTGAAATGGATTTTCAGAAGCCCAATTAAATACACGAAGAAAGCCCATTATAAATGTGTTGATCGGAGCAACCTTTGCAATCGTGCCTTTTGTCTCTCGACGAGTCCTAGGCATCATCGCGGGGCTGGAGGTCTCTTGTCCTTTTCCCTAGACATGTGGAAGTATCTTGAGTAGACCAAAATGGTACCGTGCATCCCTATAGGGTAGACGAGGATGTGGTAGAAAGTGGGGTTAAGGGGTTTAAGAGGTTATCAGTAAGGACACGGAGGTAAAACAGGGGAGGTTACTTGTGGAGGAAGCAATGATCTTTTGAAACTGAATGGGCGGTTATCTTCACGTCGCTTGATTGATGCTTACCGTTCCCAGTAACAAAAGATACCCAAGACTGGAAGCTAAGGGTTTTCGTCGAGGAGCTATTGTAATTGTTAGTATTTTCGGAATTGATGTGCATGTAATGGTTTGTAAGAGACATACCTTGTTCTTGAGGGGGACGGGTTTTTTTTCGGGTAACACTGTGAAGAACTAATTGTAATGTTAATCATCACAGAAGCCAGAAGGTCAACTATTGAAAAAAAGAAAGAGTCCATGAACTTGCTCTTGAAGTTATGCTTGCAATGATGACTATTATACACTTCATCTTTATCCTTGCTGCTACCCAATAATTTTTGGAGTTACGAATTTTAATTCCAACTTGGGTCTTTTGTTTTGTAGTTCTTGTCATGTTAATATGGTAAGACCATGTACAATGGGATTGTTGAATCTTTTCTTTTTCAACTGTTGAATTACTCCAATAAGCATGTTGAAAAATATAAAAAGATGTTGTGAATTAAACCGTGTTGAATTTATTCAACATGTTGAAAAAAAAAACTAAAATGGGACTCATTAAAGACACATGACAGCTTATGAATCAAACATCTTATTATTCTCTCATCGTATTTACTTACAATAAATTATTGTATAACAAACAAAATTATTTTTGAATGTTTTATATATAAAAATTCATCACTTTTTTATTCTATAAATTGAGACTTGCTTCATTTCATTTGAACACAAAAAAAAAATGTCATTTTATATCTTTAAACATCTTTTTATGAAATAAATCTTAAAAAATAATCATTTCAACACTTAAAATTTTACTAATTATTTTTTTTCCTCTTCAAATCCCAACAATTATCAACAAAATAAGAATATGAAATAAAAATTGTAAGAGATTAAAATTGAAATGGGTGTTGAATGATTAGGTGGAAAAGAAAAAAGATGATGTGTGTAAAAAAAAAAAAAGTGTTGAAAAACTTAACCATTAACTTAAGCAAATATTTCAATATATATATATATATATGTATAGTCTAAGCATTTTTTGTTTCATATAAGCGTTTTTATTCTTACCATATAGTCATATACGTAGAAGCCTCTCCATGATTTTAATGATTCACCCTCGAAAAAAAACAACACAAAATTATACGAGTTTTTATTCCAGTTTAAAACACAAAACATATTAACAATTTATAAATTATCATTCATATCCCGAATGAAATCATCGCACTCCTCGTCAAGAATACCATCAGCCACGTCTTTAGCCACCTCCTGAACACAATTCTTACCTAAAGAACCTTTTACCTTTCATGTATGTAAGAACATTTTTTGCACACAATCCTTACCTCTTCCCTAGGATCAAGCATAGCCTTGATATGAGAGGCTTCCACGGGTGTGGAAGTGGTTTCTTTGGGACTTCCACGTCCAAAGCGTAATGCGGCAGATTCTGCTATAGTTGAAGATATAATCAAATTCTGCAACAAGAAAGAGAGAGTAGGAGAGCCTGTGAACATTTTGATTGCATCAGGTAGGTACTTACTATATTGCTCTTGTCTTTGTTCTGTGTCTGTTAGTACTAACATACTAACATATTGCTCTGCTTGCTTTGCTTGCTCAGGAGACAAGAATGTGATGCTGGAGGCGTGGAGCAAATCCAAGAAACGCAATCGCTCAATTGTTTGGTTAGGCGTATCTGTTGATCCCGTAGATCAAATGCCTGCAATGACTGCTTTGTGGACATGGCGAAGTTTCCTTCTCATGGAAGAAGAGGCGCCACCTAAAGTTCCTCTGATTGAGTACAATGAATTGGAGTATCGAAATGTAGGTCCACTGCCTTGGACAGCTGAGGAGATGAAAAGACAAGTGAAAAGTCAGAAACACGCTGCAAAGAAAGCACTAAAGGATGCAAAGGAAGCACTAAAAGAAGATGAAGGAAGTGATGAGGAAGCAAGAGATGTGGGTCAAGAAGTCAACGTGAGTAAGAAGAAGAGAGCAAGAGAGTTGGTTCCTGAGGATGAAGTCAACGTGAGTAGGAAGAAGCAGAAGAACAAGAAGAGAGTAAGTGAGTTGGATCCTGAAGAGTAGTTTGGGACTTGAATGCTTTTTAAAAGAGTAGAAGAGTAGTTTGGGACATGCTTCTTAGTACTGTGACAACCATAATAACAATCTTTGTCTTTGCCTAAAACATGTTTTTAGAAGAAGACCTTTATTGGGCTTTCTTTTTGGTAAAAAAGGCCTTATTAAGTAGAAGGCTTCTTTATTAACTTTCACTAGATCATGACCCGCACGTACGTGCGGGGTTTCATATTTTTTAAAAAGTTTTAACAAATTTTAATTCAATATAGATTATTTCGTTGTTTCTATGATATATATTTTAGTGTATTAGATCTAAATTCACACGTACGTGCAGAGATATTTTTATATAAATTGTTATATAGATTTTAAAATTATAAAATATTTTGTTGTGTTAGTGAAATTTATAATAGTATAAATATTATAAAATTAGAGTAAATGAACGAAATTCAGTTGCGTTAGTGCATAGTTATATTTTAAGATCCGGACCTACACGTACGTGCGAAATTATATTTAAGATAAAACTAAGATATAATTTAGTTGCAAAAGTTAAATGATGTTACTTTTTTATTTTCTAAACTAATCAAAACATTTCTAATAGTTTGATTACATGTGTTAAATAGGATATAGATTCGGTTTGAGTTTGGTTATTTCATGTATATTAGCTAGGGGTAACTATTTTAGAACGGGAAACATATCCCGTACTGTATCTGTCATAAATTCTTGGTCCCATAACCCGTCTCGTATACGTGAAATAAAAATATGACGGTCCAGTATCCGGCATAAATAGAATATATGTGTAACTGAAAACGTACGAACATGGATATATATGTAAACAAATTTATTTTATATAGTGCTCATACCAATTGGGTATTTAGTTTGATTTTTAATTTATGTTCCCCTCTCATCCCGTCTCGTAATTCCTATTCTCATTTCATTCCATTAAAGTCATGTTCCAAATTATTGTTTGCTTACTTTTAAATACCATACAATACATACTGTGAGTTTTGCAGATTAATATATATGCTGCTAAAGTTACAAATATATTTTAACAAATTTATTAATGTTTTTTTCCTTAGCTAAATTTTGCATATTCTTCTTTTTATTGTTAATCATAATTAATTTGGTTTTTGGACTAAAAATAAAAATTTGAGATACATCTCTAAAAAGGATATGATATTGCTGCATAATTTGTTTTGAATTCAAAATATATAATTAGTTTACATTATTTGAAAACTGTGTGCAATATATTAGGGATTTATTTAAGAAAGATCCGGTTGAAAAACAAAAAATAAAACGCAAAATAATTTAGAAATTAATATATACAATCTATTGTTAGATATTTATCAAACTTGCTCTAAACGAAGGCTATAATGATAATTACTTTAAATTTATTATTATTTGAGTTTATTTCATCATAAATATAAATAGTTGTTAATATCTAATATCGTATTTTAGAAATTGTGAAATAAAATTTTGTTTTATATTTTAAAATTTGTGAAAATATTATATCAAAACTGAATCTTAAAATATTTGTATTTAATTTTCTTACGAAATTTTAAATTTAATCTTAAAGTCGTCCATTGATAAATCTTTTAAACGATAGTGTTTTTAATTTTGAATTAAAATGATATTATTTTTCTTTTTATTTTTGATATAGAATAGTCTACTACGATTGGTTTAGATAAAATCTTAGTTGGATATCAAATCTTAGTTTTTCAATTCTTATTGGTTAACAATTTTTTTAAAATTAATTTCAAATTTTCGTTTATAATTAATAAGAGAGAGAAAATTAGTTTATTTTTTTGGAAATTAATAATTATTTAAAAGAATTAAACTATTTTTTATTTAAATATATTAATTTTGTGATTACTATTGTACCCTTAATGAAGTTATTTAAAAACACTAAAAACCAATGGCATTCCCTTGTAATTTTTTACACTTTTTAAGGTTATTTTTCAGGGAATGCTTCCTAATTAATAGTATAGATTAGAGATTACCAAATAAATATTCAGATTCAGAAGAAACTAACAGTATATAAAGATTAAAAAAAAAAAATAAACTGCTAAATTTTCGATTAGACAAAAAAAAAATTAAACATGAAGAATCGATATATTAAAACAAAACCAAGTGAAATACTCAGATGCCTTATAAGAAACAGAACCTAATTTCTAATTAATTTGATGCCAAACTAAAATTTAGTGTTCAATAATATTGTTATGCAAAAGCAAACACTAATCTTATATTATATTAAACGCTGAAATCAATTCGCAATATAAAAAAAGAAAAAAAAAAGTTTAAAAAACAAGCAGATGCAAGATATTAAAACAAATATGTATTCGGAGGCTTATAGGAATAAACAATCTACATATACATTTTTACAGGATTTTTTTGCATTAATTCATTTGGATCCGGGTTTTACCCGGATTAATTCTGTTCGGATCCTGGATAAGACAATTAAGGAAATTTGTAATAAAATAGCGAAATTATCTCTTTAGTTACACATATTTTCTGTTTCCTTAACTTATTCTCACATTAATTGGTTTTATTCCTCATTATCTCCGGATGATTTTCAAATATTTATGCCATCTAAACTAATTACTTCTATTAATCGTTAATATATCTTTTGGCAAGATTTCCCTACAAAAAAGGAAACCAAATTAACAATTACGTTTTGATTTTATTTAGATTTGTAAACTAACAACAAGCATATTCTCAAGATATTTGAATATCAGAATATTGCCTAAAACCAAAACATCTAGAATATTCTAACGTAAATGTGTTAACAAGAATATTGTTTTTGTTATATAATGATTTCGCAATCTTTCCTTAAACATGTGTGAATCATTCTAATTTTTGATTCATATATATGATTTTTCTGTTTGCTCTCCAAGATATTCTGAAACCTATGCCAAAACCTTAGACTAATCTTTTCTATAAATAACGATCTTCTACCAACAATTACCACAACCACAATTTTCCTCATTGTTCTTACGGTAAAATCAGTACGTGGGAAGAATTACTTAGATTTGATGATGTGTACAATGTCTCGAGTTGTGTGTGTGGATTGGTAGATTCCCCGATAGTTTTTCCCCTTTCCTCTTGGCTTATTTGTTTAATAGGTGTCTTCTTTGTCTTGTACAGGTACGTGATGATGGGCGGTGGAATCTATCCAGGTACGGAAGGTAAGCTACGATTAGGGAGTTTTACGGTAAGACTAAGAAGCCCTTTTGATGCCATTGTGTTTTTTTTTTATTAGTGGCTTAATCTTACAACATGGCTTTGGCTAAGTGCAGGTGTTATATTATTGTCACTTGAGTGACGAAGAAACCATTCACTATGTCAGTAACGTGAGTTTGCTTCTTTTTTTTTGTTTTTTTTTTTGTTTTTCATTTTCTCTGGTTTTAATAAGTGGTTTTGATGTTTCAGATGTCAGAGATCATTAGCCAAGTTTGGTGAAAATGTATCTCCGATCTTAGTCTCTAAATTACAAAACCAAGACACCAAAAGGCAAAAACAGGAAGCTAAGGTTTGTTGTGCTCTTATGGATTTTGAATTTGCTAATTCTAGATATCTTTCTACTGATAGGTCCAATGAGCCATTGTATTTTTGTTTAAGGTGGCTCCTATTACCAGAAGAACCAAACTTACTGTTCCAAAGGAACCAAATCTTAGAACTGCAGAAAGATCTGAAAGACAAAGGTAAAAAAGACTTTGTGTTCAAAATGTTTGTTTGTTGGCTTTCTTATAACATGTTTTAAAATGACCCTTTTTCTCTTGAGAGTTTCAGGTCCAAGGTTAACTCAGAGACCGAGCAGATTGCGACATCAACTTCTAAATGACACATTAGGAACAAAAATGTACTTTATATTCTCGTGTTTCAATCTCAGTTTCTTTATTACCACATTCTCAGAAGCTTATGTTTTGAATCTTGCAGATTAATCTGGAACCTCCTGTTTCAACATCTTTGCCTAAAACTAATACGCCACGGTCCCAAGATTTTCAGGTATAATATATCTTCCAACATTTTCTGCATCAGGCATTTCGATTCAGAACATCACTGAGAGCAAAGGAACGCTCTTCAAATGTAGGTCTCAAATCTCTTTGTTCTCTTTATCGATTATTCGCCTCCTGATGAGGACATCGAACCACCAAGTCATATTATTCAAGCTCCCTATGTACCAAGCGGCCCAATGACTAGGACCAGGAGCAAAGGCCTAGAGAAGAAGTTCAACATCTTCCTGGAACAGCTGGAACGTGAAGGACTGATCCCTCTAGATCAGTTTGAATCCATTCGCCTAACCTCATCCGAGAGCTCCCAGCTAAAGGCCGTTTTGAACGAAGTACCACCAACGACTCAGGACGATCCAGGAGACGAGCCACATACCAAATTGAAGCTCTCTGAGTCTACTTTCCAGAGAACCAAAGAGCTTCCAGAGATCAGCTATAAATCTCCAGATATGGGCCGGACAGCAAGTGTCTGTCTGGTGGACTCTCTAATAAAGAATGAGGCCAAATGGGGTTTATTCACCCCCAAACTTGAAGTCCACTTAAGCACGTGTTCTTTGGTGCTAGAAGGCATCTAAGAAGGCTCTCATTTCGTCCAGAAGACTCCAAGACCAAAGAAGAATCATGTTTTAAAGTCAAGAGAACAAACTTACCTTAATCGGCACCCTTGATATTCTCTTTTATTACCAACGTTTCTTTCCTTTATTTTCTTGATTTTGTGTTATGTCTTTCCTTGTTTTTCTTGCAGGATTTATGTGTTTTTTCTCTTAGAATAAGTTATGAACCTGGCTATATAATGCCTTGAGTTGTAGTCCTTATTTTTTCACCTTTGATTAATAAAATTGCTTGTTTGTGTTTCACAAAATCTTTTGCTCTCTAATTCGCGAGTGTGTCCGAATTCTTGAGTGTTCTAAGAAGTATCAATAGACTTCCACATCTATTGTGGTTCTTGTCGATCCATCCTCCATCTCCATCTTATCCGAGTTAGTTAGAGAGGTCCTTAGACCGGCTAGTGACTCACCCCTAATTTGGCTCAAGACTTTTAGCCAAAGCTCATATCATTTTTGGTATCAGAGCTTCAAAACCATCCTATTTTATCAGGTTATTTCGTTCTTTTCGAAGTGTTTCAATTCTGTTTCTCAATTTCATCATAAAAAAACCCATAAAAATAAATTTTCGTCTATTTTCTTGTTTCAATTTCTCAATTGCTGTTTTAGTTCATTTAATCACTAGAAAATCCAGAAAAATTTATGTCATTATTTTTAAAATTCGTTTGCTATTTTTAAAATAATTTAAAAAAAAAAAAAAAACCAAAACAAAAAAAAAAAAAACCAAAAACATCATTGCTTTGAAATTTATTTTGTGTTAACCTTTGTCTTTAGTTTGTACTGATCATTTACGTTTGTTAGAAATTCAAAGTTGAGTTTCATAGGTTTTCCATTCACATAAGATTTGTGGTACGATTGGTAGTAAGAAGATCAATTCGATTGTTTTGTTATCTCTTACCAAAGAATTTGATACTCTGATTTTTTTAAATACTTTCAGGTGAGATGGGTGAAAACACCGGTGATCCTAATGCTGCTATGATGCAACTGCTGCAAACAATGCAACGACAACTCACTACCATGGAACAACGATTAGTCCAAGTCGAGCAACCTCGAGCAAACCGCAACCAAAGACAAGAGAATGTTGTTGATCGTGAAGTTAGTGATAGGAGAAGAAGTGATACTCCTCAAGTGACCACATGGAGGGAAATGAAGCAGCTTATGAAGAAGAGATATGTTCCCACCTACTATCATCGAGACCTTCAAAAGAAGTTCCGGAAGTTAACTCAAGGAACAAAGAGCGTGGAAGAGTATTTCGAAGAATTTGAGCATTTAAGGAATAGGCTGGAGCTTGACGATGATGCTGAGACCACCATGGCTCAATTTCTTGACGGGTTACATGAGAAGATCTCTCATAAAGTAGAAATACATCCTTATCACGACTTGAAGGACATTTTACACCATGCTATACAAGCTGAACACCACATCAAGAAGAAGATGACAAGCTTGGGGAGAGTCAAAACTATTCAAAATTGGGATCAAGGACGTGCCAAGACACCTTTTTCATCAACCTCCCAAGTAAAGCCCTTGGACAAAGGCAAAGCCGTGGCTATTGACAATCGATTCAAGTCTAAGCCAATCGAGCCTAACCAAGGTAAGTTCCCTAGCCCTAATAATTCAAGAACTCGTGATATAACATGTTTCAAGTGCAAGGGCAAAGGACATATGGCTAAAGATTGTCCCAATACAAGAGTAATGATTCTCACGGACGCGGGAGAATACGAGTCACAAGATGAAGTAGATGTCGCCATGGATGATGTTGTAGTTGAAGAAGTTGATTGTGAACCTGAGTATGGAGAATCACTGGTCATAAGGCGTGTCTTGAACCTCACGGTTCATCCCGATGAGTTAGCTCAAAGAGAAAACATTTTCCATACCCGTTGCACCGTCCAAGACAAGGTATGTAATCTTATCATAGATGGTGGGTCATGTACTAATGTTGCTAGTGAGTACATGGTTTCAAAACTCAGCCTTGGACGGACTAAACAACCTCATCCATATAAACTACGATGGCTTAATGACAAGGCTGAGATGAAAATCACGGATCAAGTACAAGTACCATTCAAAGTGGGAAAGTATATGGATCAAGTCTTGTGTGACGTGCTTCCTATGCAAGCTTGTCACCTTCTACTTGGTAGACCGTGGCAATTTGATAAGGATACCATGCACCATGGGCGTAGTAACGTGTATTCTTTTGTCCATGATAAAAAAAAATATAATCTAACTCCTCTTACCCCGAATCAAGTGCATGAAATTCAAATTAAGATGCTTAAAGAGAAGAGTTCTTCTTCTAAGAGTAATTTTCTGATCAAACCTAGCTACATAGCTAAGGCACTCACTTGTAAAGAAGCGGTATTACTAATGATCTTTAAGGAAGTTTTGAACGCAGGTTTTAGTGCTTTGGAACAAGATCTTCCTAAAGAGGTGAAGGACCTTTTGAACCGGTATGCTGAGATATTTCCGGATGAAATACCCCCTGGTCTACCTCATATAAGAGGAATTGAACATCAAATAGATTTGGTTCCGGGTGCACCATTGCCCAATATAGCCGCTTATCGAGTTAACCCGGAGGAAGCTAAGGAGTTGGAGAAACAAGTGAAGGATCTATTAGACAAAGGCTACGTGAGAGAAAGCCTAAGTCCATGTGCTGTACCAGTCCTCTTAGTACCAAAGAAAGACGGAACTTGGAGGATGTGTGTGGATTGTCGAGCTATCAACAACATTACCATCAAATACCGACATCCAATACCAAGGTTAGATGATATGCTTGATGAATTATCTGGATCTAATGTGTTTTCTAAGATTGATCTTAGGAGTGGATATCATCAAGTAAGAATGAAGGAAGGTGATGAGTGGAAAACGGCTTTCAAGACCAAGCAAGGTCTTTACGAGTGGCTAGTAATGCCATTTGGGCTTACCAACGCACCTAGCACCTTCATGAGGCTTATGAATCAAGTTCTAAGACCTTACATCAGTAAGTTTGTTGTGGTATACTTTGATGATATACTTATTTATAGCCCTACATTCGATGATCACCTAGTTCATTTGGAACAAGTTATTCAAACGCTTCAAAAGGAAGGTCTTTAAGCCAACCTTAAGAAGTGCACCTTTTGTACTAATGAGCTTGTCTTCTTAGGCTTTATAGTGAGTTCACAGGGACTGAGAGTGGACGAAGAGAAAGTCAAAGCCATACAAGAATGACCGACACCAAGCAACATTAGTCAAGTAAGAAGCTTCCACGGCTTGGCTAGTTTCTATAGGAGATTTGTGAAGGATTTCAGCACCCTTGCTGCACCACTCACCGCTGTGATCAAAAAGGACGTGGAGTTCAAGTGGGGAGAAGCCCAGGAGCAGGCTTTTACAGCTCTAAAGGATCAGTTATCGAATGCACCAGTTTTAGCTTTACCAGATTTCACTAACACTTTTGAGATTGAGTGTGATGCATCAGGATTAGGTATTGGAGCTGTGCTCACTCAAAGAGGCAAACCAATAGCCTATTTTAGTGAGAAACTCAATGGAGCAACACTCAACTATCCTACGTATGACAAAGAATTGTATGCCTTAGTCCGCGCCATGGAGACTTGGCAACACTATCTACTCGCTAAGGAGTGTGTGATTCATACGGATCATGAGACCTTGAAGCATCTAAGAGGTCAAACTAACCTAAAGAGAAGGCATGCAAAGTGGCTCGAGTTCATAGAGACGTTTCCCTATGTCATCAAATACAAGAAGGGAAAAGACAATGTAGTAGCCGATGCACTTTCAAGACGACATGCTCTCATCTCTACAATGGATGCTAAGGTTCTTGGTTTTGAATTGATTATACCTTTATATGAGTCTGATCCTGACTTTGCAGAGAGCTATAAGAATCCAGGCAAGGGAGGTCACGTGTCCTTCTACATTCATAATGGCTATCTCTTCAAAGATAAACGGTTATGTATCCCGCAATGCTCTTTAAGGGATCTTATAGTCCGAGAAGCTCAAGGAGGAGGATTAATGGGTCACTTTGGCGTGGAGAAGACTTTAGCCATGCTCAAAGAACATTTCTTTTGGCCTCATCTCAAGAAATCAGTTGAGACTTTCATTGCGAGATGTATTACTTGCAAGAAAGCAAAGTCTAGAGTCCAACCCCACGGTTTGTATCTTCCCTTACCGATTCCTACTTCTCCTTGGATTGATATTTCCATGGATTTTGTGCTAGGTTTGCCCAAAATCAGGCACAAGGACTCAATATTTGTCGTAGTGGACCGTTTTTCCAAGATGGATCACTTCATACCATGTGCTAAGACCAACGATGCTACCCAAACCGCGGATCTCTTCTTTAAAGAAGTTGTTAGATTACATGGCGTTCCAAGGACTATTGTGTCGGATAGGGACACCAAATTTCTCAGCCACTTTTGGAGGACATTGTGGAAGA